AACTAACTGAGCACCAAAGGGGAAACCTGTTGAAGTGAAATGGACAGTATGAGAAACAGTGACTTGATCAGCTCTTGTGCTGACGGTTGATGTACAATGTAATACTTTATCCATTTTAGTATTTTTTCTTTGTTTTGTTCTAGTACTATTGGTTGAACTCTGTAATTAACACACAATTATTCTTAGGTGTTTAAATTTTAACTGAAAAGTGATCCCTGTTAAATATAAGAGTGGGAATAAGAGAGGGAGGAGATGTACAATTTGGGACATGCTCAAGCTGACTTGCCCCAAATGGTGGAGTTAGAATCGTGCCAAGAGATTCCAATACAATCCCATCAAGGTGGCATGTACCAATGCCATCTCACTAGTTCAAGTGATCAATTTCAGTTCATAATTGATCATAATGAAAGGACTAAGAGTCAAAGGATCACAAAAACAAGACTAGTGTCTGCTAATACTAACTGAAAGAATAAAAAGGGGGGAGAATGATCCAACATGGGAAGTGAGATACACAACAGACTCATAGAATGGCAGATGTCCTAAATAGCACTCTGGCCTCAGAATCAGCCCTTAAGGCATTCGGATCTGGCTGAAGAGCCCATGAGAGTATTTTAGGCATGGAAAGCCAAGACACTCTGGGGGAAAAAAAAAAAAGAAGAAGAAGACCTAAATGAAAGATTTCTGCAAGTGAGATCCCAGAGGAAAGAATGGGGCCATCAAAGAAGGCGGTAGGGAGGAGAGAACTTCCACTTTGACTATGACACTGTTGGAATAAGATCAAAGTCGGCCAACTCAACAGGCTTCCATAGCCCTGGCAACTCATGACTAGAGCCTAGGGCGATTTCTGACGTCATAAACATGAGTGTCAAATTGTTAAATCAACAACAGGAGTCACTGTGTACTTACTTCTCATGTGGGATCTGTCCTTAATGTGTTGCCCAATGTGAAGTAATGCTATAACTAGTACTGAAACAGTATTTTACACTCTGTGTTTCTGTGTGGGTGCAAACTGATGAAATCTTTCCTTAATATATACTAAATCGATCTTCTGTATATAAAGGTAATTGAAAATGAATCTTGATGTGAATGGAATAGGAGAGGGAGTGGAAGATGGGAGGGGTGCAAGTGGGAGGGAAATTATGGGGGGGGGGAGCCATTGTATTCCATAAACTGTACTTTGGAAATTTATATTTACTAAATAAAAAAAAACTCAGATAAATGGAAATATATCCTATTTTCACAGATCGGAAGAATTAATATTGTTAAAATGCTCTTAGTACCCAAAGTGAACCACAGACTCAAAGAAATATCTGTAAAAATTTCAAATAACTTCTCACAAAACTAAAAAAAATCCTAAAATTCATATGAAATCACAAAAATTTTTGACTAGCCAAGGCAATCATTAGCAAAATGACCGAAGTGTCACACTATCTGATTTCAAACCATCCTACAAAGTTAAAATAACTAACACAGCATGGTACTAGCAAAAAAAACATACACCAATCAGTGAAAAAATGCAATTATGAGCTGTGTATGTTTTGACCAAAAGCTGAAATCAAATAGGATAGTATATACCACATAGGTGAGCATACAATAGGGCACACCATCCAGGTTTGTATAAGTACAGTACAATGTTTGCACAAAGATAAAATTGCCTAAAAACACATTTCTCACAATGAATCCCCCTCATTAAACACCAAAAATCAGAGGCTGGTGCCATGGCTTAGCAGGGAAAGCTGCTGCCTGCAGTGCTGGCATCCTACAAGGGTACCAGTTAGAGTCCCAGCTGCCCCACTTCCAATCCAGTTCCCTGCTAATGTGCCTGGGAAAGCAGCCAAAGATGGCTCAAGTCCTTGGGCCCATGTCTCCTAGTTTGGCCTGGCCCAGCCTCGGTCGTTGTGGCCATTTAGGGAGTAAATCAGTGGGTGGAACATTTCTGTTCCCTCTCCCTCCCCAGCCCTTCTTTTCTGTACTCCACATTTCACACACATCAATAAATCTTTAAAAAAATAAATGTACCAAAAACAACTGACCATAGACAACCTAGAAAGAAACCCAAGCATATATGATAAATTGATTTTCAACAAAGACACTAAGACCATGCAACGAGAAAGGGATAATCTACCTATAAATGGCGTGGAGAAAACTAGATCTCCACACGCAGAAGAATGAAGCTTAACTTCTAACTCATACCATATACAAGAAATCAACTCAAGACGGATCAACAACTTAAATATAAAGCCAAAAACTATTCAAAGAGAACCTGAAAGAAAATTACATGTCATTCTCCTGGCAAACAAGTTCTTGAATTTGACCACAAAAGCATAGGCAATAAAATAAAAATAGATAAATGGGATTACATCAGACTAAAAAGCTTCTGCATAGCAAAGAAAACAGTGTGTGGAGACAAGCTACCAACAAGGAGAAAATATCTGCAAGTTATACACTTGATAAGGGGTTATTATAAAAGATACATAAGGCACTCAAACAATAAGAAAACTAAAAACCCAATTAATAGGCAAGGGACCTAAATAGAAATTTCTGAAAGATAATATACAATAGCTAAAGGCCTTATGAAAAAAATGCACAAAATTCCTAATCACTACAGAAATTTTGATGGCTGTTGTGTATGTGTATGGGGGCTTGTGTGGGCAGCTCGATTAGTTAGCAGGTAGGGAGCCCTTGTTCTAGTTGCAATTCTGAAGGCTGCATTTGTGACAAAGAATCTTTAGCTTAAAATTGATATATATTTGCCTGTGGAATCCAGGAGTGAATCGAGACAGCTCCACGCACAATGAATACAGAAAGGCAATGTATAAGACATCACTGTTTTATTCTCACAGCAAATTGTAGTGAGAATGCCTAAGCAGACAGAACACACCACAAGATGAGGAGAGGGAAAACTGCAGGGAAAATATGCAGCCTGATTGTCTTCAGTTTCCATTTCTTCCTGACTTCGAGGATACTTAAGATAAAATAGGCTAAGAAAAAATGCACTGTAATTCTCAGTTTCGTATGAATTCTCAAGTTGTTAAACTTCTATTGTAGAGTGGAGAGAAGAGCCAGGTGGGCTCCCAGTATATGAGCCCTCTTGATCTCTACTTCAGCACAGTTCCCAAAGAGGCCTGTTACAGCCATCAGTGATAATAACATTAATTTGAAATACATGTTAAGTAGATAAAGCCATGAGATTTCTCATTTCCTTCCAATGACTGTTTCCAAATACAATTATGTTTTACTTTGTATTACCCTTTACCTTTCTTTATCCTTTCTTTCTTTAAAAAGATTTATTTATTTATTTGAAAGGCAGAGTTACAGAGAGGCAGAGAGCTAGAGAACGAGAGTATGTGAGAGAGAGGGAGGTCTTCCATCCACTGGTTCACACCCCAGATGGCCGCAATGGCCGGAGCCAGCAGCCAGGAGCCAGGAACTTTTCTGTATCTCCCACACAAGTGCGCACAGGCCTGAGCACTTGGGCCATCTTCTACTGCTTTCCCAGGCCATAGCAGAGAGCTGGATTGGAACTGAAGCATCTGGGACTCGAACCAGTGCCCATACGGGATGCTGGCACTACAGGTGGCGGCTTTACCAGCTATGCCACAGTGCCGGCCCACAGATGTTTCAATTGCCTGCTATGCCACAGTGCTGGCCTCTATTCTTTGTTATTAACAGAACTTTGCACCAGTGATGTCTTCTCATCAATCTTTTCTTTGTCTTGTGCATCAAACATACCTCTGCTCAAGGATTACCTTCCCTTCTCTGGTCCCAAGAAGACATGCAGTCACACTTTGTTTAAAAAACGTGCATGCATTTGTGTGTGAAATTCTATTTATGTCTGTGTTATGTGCGTTATAAATAGAATTTATAATTCTATAAATTAAATTCTATTAAATAAATTTATAATTCAAATGAAAGTGTGATCTCCCTAAAAGGGAGTATTATAAGGATCTTACAATGCAAGTTCATTAAAACACAGCTGTAAGTCACCTAATACCAAAGTGTAAAATTTTAAAAAGGAGGAGAAATTTCCTTCCTTCCTTCATAATAATAATAATGAGACAAAAGTCCTGCAGGGAGAAATCCTAACTTTGGCACAGATTCTTCAAGCCAGGAATCTATTTCAAGGGTGGGTTAGAATGCCAGAGGAAAAAAGAGCTTGGGACTTTCAGTGGGCTGGAAATACTACAAGAAGTCAGTTTTCCCCTCTAATTAGTGAATGACCAAACACATTACATCTGGGACTGGAAAATCCACCTGTTGCTATGTGGTCCCTAGTTTCAATGACAAGAGGACTAGTCTGCTGTCAGTGGCTGCACTCTCTTCCCTGAAGAGACTCACACATGGCTTTTCTAGAAAAGTTTTTGTTCTTTGCATTCAGCACTTAAGCATAGAGTCTGGTTCATAGGAGTAGCTCAGTAAAAGCTTGTAAAATACAAATACATAATGCTTGGACAAAACAAGCAGCTACTGTTGTCAGAGAAGAGTATACATACAGTAGTTTTAAATAAATCATGGCTATGATTTATAAGAAAGAAAAGAACTAATTCATTTCTTCAAAACAATCAACAAAATGGATGCAACTGGAGATCATTATGCTTACTGAAACAAGCCAGACCTAGAGACAAATTTCACATGTTTTCTCTGATTTGTGATAGCTAATATCAGAGCATAAAATAATTTAATGTATATGAGTGAAACTGGAATCTTGGGATTTGTTCATTGTTTATAGCCCTTTGCTATATTCCTGAATGTGAGTTTTCTACATTTTTCCTTATTGAATTCTTTATTTAATGGAGCATTAAGCCTTTGAGTATAAAATAAATTAAAAATATTATTGCAAAATATTAAAAATGCTATTGCAAAAGTCAAAAAAACAAAGGGAAGTATCATTATATTCTTAGAGTTGTAACTATGAGCTACATAAAATCTGATCCCTTTACATGCATAAGAATGTGAATCACATAAGAAGCCCCACCGTCTGTGAATGCAGCTGGACGCACCTGAGCAACCGCTGTGATCTGCTCCAGCGCCGCGGCGTGCAGGGTCTCATCCCGGCTCTCCAGGAGCAGTTTCAGGGACGGCAGCAGCAGGGACTGGTGCAGCAGCAGCAGGCACAGCTCCTTCACACACTGAAACCACGTGAACACAGCATGAGTGGGGATGTGGGGAGCACCCAGCATCGCTGTGCAGCCCTGGCTGCCTCTTTCCACCCAGTTCTAGAAATGTGCATGACTCTGTGTGTGTGTGCGTGTGTGTGTGTGTGTGCATGACAGTAAAGTCCACAAGGGACCACGCTGAATACGTGAGTAGGGCTTGGCACCTGCTTCATTCACTGCACAGCAGGTGTGAGCATCCTTCCAAGCTGTCAGACATTCCTCATTGCTGGTAACGGTTGCCTGGTACTCATTATGTGGACATAGGAGTGTAACTTATTTTCCTAGCCTCTCACAATTCCAGTTTCCTCATAAGTAAGATGGAGGTATTTATATCTACTTACAGTATCTATTTTGAATGTGAGAAGCAGTGAAAATGGATATGAAGTACAAAGCTCAGAATATAGTAGAGGCTGAATAATAAAATCTATTATCAAGCATTAATATTATTAACAATATATCATTATTATCCACTGAACAAAGGAAATCAGCAAATAAAATACTTTAAAGCCAGGTTATAATTTCAATGTCAGGAATTGAATTCCTGATATATTTAAGATATTCATCTTCACGAAGACCTCTGTGGTGCAAAAAAAATGAGAATGTGTTTGGGTTGCCACAGGTGTATGTGAATTTCATTCTCAGCTCTTTGTTATACCAGCTGAACCTGTCGTCAGAAAGTGAGATTTTATACAAGAATGATAGTTCTTTACAACAAAAGTATAGAAGAAAAAAAATTGAATTTGCAAGCTGTGTTGGCCTGCTGAGCTCCACTACCCCTGGTGTCCTGGTGTTAGCCATAACACAAAGGACAGGATGCTTGGACCAAGGACCAGACAATGAGCACTGCCCCACTATGTTCTGAAAGAAGAATCGAGGATCACCACCCTCTGTGTGACTGATCTTTCTCTTGTGCTAGTCACAGGCAGATCAGACAAGAAAAATTCAAATTCATGATATTTCAAAATTCCACTTATATTATTGTAAAGCATAGATAAAATAAGGATGACACAAAGAGGCTCTCACTGGAAATACAGGATAAAATCTCTTTGGAATTCCTCTTACAGTTTTTTCAGCTTTCAACCAGCCATCTATTTTGGAAATCAGCAAGGCCTACAAAGTTCAGAGTGGAAGGTGGTTCATACACAAAGTTGGGTGACAATAAGCATTATCAGCAGGATGGCGGTTGGGAAAAATGTACACTTCAAGCATCATGAGTTCTAATTCAGAACAGTTCTAATGTGTCTTCAGGAACAGACACCTACAAAGTGTCCCATCAAGCATCTGGGCCAAAGAGAATAGATTTTTCCTCTGGGAAAATACCTTGAGAGAATACCCACAGAAAATACTTCGGGAGTCTGAAACATGAACTCCCAAGCATGGCCCTCAGGCCTGGCTGCTACATCCTGATTTGCTTCCTCAGACTTCTTCCTCCTTACAGGTAAAGCAGTTCCTGCCACATGCATATCCCCCAAACAGCGCTTCCAGGGAACTTCTCTGCCACAGTGGGAGCATCCTGTGGCTCTGCAGTCCAATCCAACAGCCACAGGCTGCATCTGAGACATGATTAGTGTACCGAAGGAGAGTATTTGCAATGCTACTTAAAGTTTTAATTTTACCAGTCAGCTGTGGCCAGTGGCTACTGTACTAGAAAGAGTAGCTGCTACTTGTAGGACTCTCATACCTCTAGGTTTTGCAAACAGTGCAACCTAGGCTCTTTCTCTGATTAACAACTGCTTGCTCTTTATATCTCCACTTACAAAGACCAAGAAAATCCCCACCTCCCCTGCCAAGGCACCTCTGAGGGTCCCAGGTTAGCACTCCAGGTTCTAACGGTATTCATATTTCCTACATTATCTCTTTTCCTATATTACTATAAACAGTCATTTGTCTTTCTGCCTTCTATGTATTCCAAACTTGCTTGGTATACTTTGTACCAATACTTGAATGGGATTCCTTCTCTTGACACTCCCGTTGCTTACTCAGTAAGCTGTCAGTAATGGGTAAACAAGTATTTTTCAGCAATTAGTGAAATTTATACTAAGCATACCACATGGCCAACATTCCTGCTCATGGAAAACTATAAAACAACCTGGACCAGCTGCTGAACAGGTACTGTGGATGGATGGCGCACAGTCAGGCTGGGACATCCCAAATGAGGAGCTCAGTCTATGGCAGCTACTGAGTAAATCCGGATCTCTTAGCTAGCAGTCTCTGGCCTTTCAATGCTGAATCTACTATATTTGTTAGGTACTTCCCTCCTATGCTGTGAGAACGTTCATTAGGAGATTTACAAAGGGAATTGCAAGACAGGTCAAGGGAGCAGAGAGAAGCACAAAGCACTTTGCTTGATACCTTCCCAGCTAAACCGTCAGACCATCAGGACACAGAACAAGGAGGGCAAGGCCTTAGATGAAGAGGCCCATGTGAGCCAGGGCTGGAGCAGGCTGCAGCACTGGGTGTCTGTTCTTCCTGTATTGTGACGCTGATTCCCTGGGTCCCCACACGAGCCTGTTCTCTGTCCACCAACATTCTGTCCATCCTCCCACGGACTTCCCGCTGGCCCAAGGGTGCCTAGCATTAAAAAGCTTTTGTTGCAGGGCCTGTAGCAGGACCATGGAACACAAGGTAAGAGGGATTGGTTTCTCATCCTGATCTATCAGAATTAGAATGTGTTATTCACATATCATTTACTCTGGTGGGGATAATAAGCTGTGCTCAGTCCCTATATTATGCAGTGTGCCAAATCCTGCCTTGGGAGACAAAGGTATGACACAGCCCATGTGGTTCCCACCCTCTCAGGGCTCACAATGCAGCAAAGTGGAACACAGGTGAAAGGGTGACTGACACAGGCAGAGCAGGGTACACAGTTCACATCAACCTGGAGTAAGGACAGGTTAAATTCAGTTTCAGGACTTTAAGTTCCATAAAACAACTTTGTCATTCTGGTGTTTGGGAGACTTCTTAAATGGAATAATATGTTAAAATCCAATCAAAAGATATTTATCCAGTTCCTCAATCAGAAAACAATCCATTACATGTGTATTCATGAAAATATTTTCCTTGAGTGTTTACAATGAGTATCCAAAGATCATATTTACAATTTTATTTTTGAGTTTATTTCTGATGGGGTAGGAACTCAAAACCAATTAATCAGTTTAATGTCATCACTTAAATGCTTGAATTTAAGATATGTAAACAGATCAACCAATGTATTTCTGGAGTGAAATTCATTAGGAGTCTGTAATTAATATGTGCTTATTTTAGCAAATGCAAAATTCACACACACACACAAGTATATATAAAATGAGTATGTGACAGTAAAGTACGGGATCAAATAGAGAACAAAGGTCAAAATGGAGATGGTGAGTTTTTACCATATTTTGCAGTATACATATATAGAGGTTATGCGATCTCATTACAGTGATATCAAAAAGCATATAAAAATTAGAGTGGTTGGTGTCCTGCTCAGAGGAGTGGTAGAACTTACTAAACTTTACAACTGCCCTAACTCAAACAGATAACATCTGAGCTACCAAGATCTCGTGGGCTGTAAGTTTGAGTTACAAACTTAAACTGTAAGTTTTTATGGCTAAACTTTAAGTTTAGCCATAAAAGGGCAACAGAAGGGACTGAGAACATGTTTACACTCTGGGTTTAGCAAAAGGAATACTGCTTCAGAGTTCCAACAACAGCAACAGAAACTAGCTTAAACCAACCTCTCGTGTTGTTTTCTAAAAATTACAGGCCTTGGTCATTAATGACTTAAGCTCAGAGTTCCTCACGTACAGTCCACTGGGCTGCTTATAATAAAGAGTTCTGATAAGGGCAGGCACACTCCCCAGGAAAGCCACGTGAAACATGTACTCACTCACCTCTGCAGGCAGCATATGCTTGGTGTCATACAAGGAGCGACAAATTTTCAGAACTTCCTTCCCCAATTCTTCTTTGTTCTCTGCTGTACATCTGGTTAGCATCACTGTGGCAAGCCTCACCCAGGGATTATTGGTTACGCTGTTTCAATAGAAGAGAAATGCAAGACATTGGAAATGAGTAGCGATCTCACAACTGCGGTGTTAAAACAGAAGATATCCCACGTTGTGAAGTAAAATGCTTCTGCAAAAGTAGAATCAGGATCCGGATGATGTGTTTCTTCCAGTCTATCTTAAATAAAAGCCAAGTGAAGGAGAAAAATCAGCTAACTGTGGCACCCACAAGCAGTCGGGGAGCATGGGGACTGAGGGGAGTGGAGAGCGCACAGGCTTGGAAGCCAGAGAGGCTTGGTTCGATTTCTGGCTCCTGGATTCACTAACTGGGCTCAGGGAATTTAATTAAAACCTCCAGCCTCATTGTACAGATCTGAGTCCTCCAAATTTTATGGGCCCCAGTTGTTTTTGGTTGTGAAAAGGCAATCTAATATTTTCCACGCAGAGCTCCTTAATTTAACGAATGATTGACATGACTGTGAAGTATCACTTGTAACAGCAGGCATGCCTTCTCTGAACCCAGGAGCCCAGAACTCCGCTGGGATCTTCTACACGGGTGGCAGGGAACCCAGTATCTGGGCCATCATCTGATGCCTAGGAGGTACATTAGCAGGAAGTGAGACTGGAAGCAGAGGACTGGACCCCCAAGCACTCTGACATGGGATGCAGGCATTCCTAGAGGCAGCTTAACCTGCTATGCCAAAACAGCAGCCCCAAGAGCATGTTTTTAAAGTATCCCACCACACATTCGCTGCAGCGAACGGCAGTATGAGCAGGAGAGTGACAGAAAAGGACAACTTTATGTGACGAATCCTCTCTTGTCTCTTAGAGGAAACGTAAGTGGTAAAGGCAAGACTGCTAACTGCTTGGTTTTGAGTCTAATAACTTAATAGTCATTTTTTAAAACACAGGCTAGCAAGTTATAACTTTAATTTCATATGTGACCACAAACATATCCTTAAAAGTAAAACTTTTGGGGGGATCTCCAAATGCACTAAATATTCTAGATACAATAAATGTTTAAAGTGAAAATGACTTTGGTTCTTATAGGTAAGTGAATGATTTTAAATAGCATTCTAAAAGGAAAATGAAATGTACAACCACTGCTGACTATCCATGGAAATGTCATATTTTGAATTCGGAAAGGAAGACATGAAGAACTCTGCATAATTTCCTAAAAAAGATAAGCCATTACCGAATCACATTATCTCTACCCTGGCATCTGTCTAGAAACAGACTCCCGGTTCAGGCACCAGGAGTTGGGCTCAGAAAGGCTCAGGGCCCCACTCGTAGGAAGCATCCCCAGGTGCTGAGAAACGCAGTGTCACAGGTGAGACTGGAGGCTTCATGATGTGACAGCCTGCACTGTGAAGATTCAGACGGCAGAGGTCAGAATCCATTCTTGAACATTACAAGTCAGCACGCCAGCTCTGCCACAAATGATGGAGAGCTAAGAAACACTTCATTTCCTTCTGAAAACAGTTGGTTAGAAAACAAAACAAAAGCTCCGTTTTCCTGGTTAGCTTCAGATATCACTAATAGTTTCACCCCAGGTTAAGGCAAAGAGCCTTTCCCACACGTTCCCTGGCAGTCTTACATGGCTCACAGAATCATTTACTTCCAGAAAAACATCCTTCATTAACTTCCGATGTGTAGGCAAGTTTAGCGGCCCGGATCAGAGTCCACCTGCCGCGTGCAGGAAGAACACGCTCGTTCCTGGAGCAAACGGCACTTGGAGGAGGGGCAAGAGGGCCCGCACGTTTTGCCAAGGAGAAGGAGCAGTTCATGACAGCCAGCGCATGTGCTCAAAGGAAATTTGGCCACTTCCAAAAGAAAGGGAGAAGTTCTGTGGCTGATAGCACGAGGACTGGATAAGCACCTCATGCAGATCTGAGTGGCAGCTGGAAGCTTCGTGTGAAACACAGAGGAAACACAGGCTGTACAAGTAGGCTACAATTCTGTTTCCACCACTTATTAGCTATCTGGTGCCTAAGAACTGTTTAACTTCTGAGCCTCAATTCCTTCCTCTATGAAACCTGATAACATCACCTGTACTTGTAGGTTTGCTAAGTGAATGACTGATAATGTATGTAAATTGCACTTTACATTGTGTGTTCTTAGTAAGAGGGCATTATTCATTTGCTCCATGTGGATTCTCCAGTTAGCACTGTTAAAAGATAATCATGATATTTTCTTTTGAAAATACTAGAGCAGAATTGCTTTGTTGACATCATAAATCAGATATTGTTATCACTCATTGACTGATACTTTTAAAGAAAATACTTGGGTTTAAAGGCAAGGAAAAATAGAAGGATATCACAATATTTCAAAGAGGAATTTTAGTGTCCTTTAAAGACAATTATTGATTATGTGCACACACACACACACACACTCACACGCACCTACACTGTACCTCCTTACCATAGTTTCACTTTCCATGGTTTGTTGCCAATGGTCAACCACAGTTCACAAATATTAAATGAAAAGCTCTAGAAATAAGTCATTTGTAATTTTTCAATCATGCTATTCATCCTAAGCAGTATGATGAAATGACATGAATCATCTCTGTCCACAGTATCCATGCTGTGTAACTGTACCTGCCCATCACCATCTCAGTTATCAGATGCAAGGGCTTGTGTTCAAGTAACCACGATGTGATGTTTGTTATGTGATGTGATGTCATGTCACTGCCCCAATGTGCAAGAGTAGATGATGCTGGCAATCTGATTATACCAAAGAGAAGTGTGAGGTGCTTTCTTTCAAGTGAAAACATGGAAGTTCTCAACTAGTGAGAAAAAAATCATATACTGAGGGTGTTAAGATCTATGGTAAGAATGACTCTTCCACCTGTGAAACTCTGAAGAAAAGAAAAGAAATTATATTAGTTTTGATGTTGCACCATAACTACCAAAAGTTACAGCCACAAGCATGATAAGGGTTTAGTTTCCATGGAAAAGGTACCACATTTGTGCAGCTATGTATAGGAAAAAACACACTGTCTGCAGACAGTCTGCTACTATCTGCAATTGCAGGCACCCACTAAGCATCTTGGAATGCATTTCCTATAAGATGTGTATAGTGGTGTTCAGAAGTATTCTTTCACTGGCTCTTTCGAAGGTGCTAGATTATTAGGATTAAAGTCCAGACAGGATTTCTAAGTAGGCTCATTTTATTTTAATACTTACACAGATTCACTCTTCATAGGTGGCCAAGCTTGCAAGAGCAAAGCCAAGTGCTGAAATTCAACTTCATGGTGACTGGATTCCAGAAGTTCCAAGAACAGAGAGCAGCGCTTCTCTTCATTCTCAATGTCAGCTAAATCTACCTGCAAGTAGAAGCACATACTTGAAATGGGTGGCAAAAGCTACTCAATTTATTTACAGAAGAAATCAAAGTTGATTTTCTTGATTAAACCTATTTTGAAAATTTCTATCATGTGCTGAAAAATTTGACAATTAAAAAAAAACTTGAAAATCTCTATACCTTACTCAATTTCAACAATTATTTTAAAATTAGTTTAGAGGTGGGTGTTTGGCACATGGTTTCAGTTGCCAAATAGGATGCCTGCATGTCGTATGAGGGGACCTTGTTCCAGCCCCACCCGATCTATTTCCCCTGTACTTGTCACTGTCACCCACAGAGGAGGAGGCCCGGATTGATTCCAGTCTCCTGGGTTCACCTTGGCCCAGTCCTGCCTGTTGGGGACATTTAGCTAGTAAACTAGTGGTGGAAGATCCCTTTCCATCTTTCTCTCTGCCTTTTAAAGAAAATGAAAATAAATTTAAAAAGTACAAAATGAATAAGTACAAAATCATGGGAAGGAAACATTTTCTCTAACAATATAAACAATTTGATTTTCATGGTTCATTGGTATCTGTTACATTATAATACTGAATTGTTATAACTGAAATTACAATATTTCACCATATTCAACACCAAGTGAATGTCTTAAAGTTTAAATTATCCATAACGAATTCTAACTTTTTTAACTTCTTTTTTTTTTTTTTTTTGGACAGGCACAGAGTGGACAGAGAGAGAGAGAGAGAGAGACAGCAGAGAGAAAGGTCTTCCTTTGCCGTTGGTTCACCCCTCAATGGCCGCTGCGGCCGGTGCACCACCGTGCTGATCCGAAGCCAGGAGCCAGGTCCTTCTCCTGGTGTCCCATGCGGGTGCAGGGCCCAAGGACTTGGGCCATCCTCCACTGCACTCCCTGGCCACAGCAGAGAGCTGGCCTGGAAGAGGGGCAACCGGGACAGAATCCGGTGCCCTGACCGGGACTAGAACCTGGTGTGCCGGTGCCGCAAGGCGGAGGATTAGCCTATTGAGCTGCAGCGCCGGCCATAATACTGTCTTTATTAATGGTTATACATCACCATAAACTATCTCATGTAGTAGTTTGATATTTTTCTTTTTCTTTTTTTTAACTTTTATTTAATAAATATAAATTTCCAAAATATGGCTTTGGGATTACAGTGGCTTTCCCCCCCATAGCTTCCCTCCCACCTGCAACCCTCCCATCTCCCGCTCCCTCTCCCATTCCATTCACATCAAGATTCATTTTCAATTATCTTTATTTATTTATTTATTTTTTTGACAGGCAGAGTTAGAGAGAAAGGTCTTCCTTTTCCGTTGGTTCACCCCCCAAATGGGCACTACGGCTGGTGCACTGTGCCGATCCGGAGCCAGGAGCCAGGTACTTCCTCCTGGTCTCCCTTGCGGGTGCAGGGCCCAAGCACTTGGGCCATCCTCCACTGCCTTCCTGGGCCACAGCAGAGCTGGACTGGAAGAGGAGCAACCGGGAGGGACAGAATCTGGTGCCCCAGCTGGGACTAGAACCCGGGGTGCTGGCACCACAGGCGGAAGATTAGCCAAATGAGCCGCAGTGCCAGCTCTCAATTATTTTTATATACAGAAGATCGATTTAGTATATATTAATTAAAGATTGCAACAGTTTGCACCCACACAGAAACACAAAGCATAAAGTACTGTTTGAGTACTAGTTATAGCATTAATTCACATTGTACAACACATTAAGGACAGAGATCCTACATGGGGAGTAAGTGCACAGTGACTCCTGTTGTTGACTTAACAAATTGACACTCTTGTTTATGGCGTAATAACCTGAGGCTCTTGTCATGAGTTGCCAAGGCTATGGAAGCCTTTTGAGTTCACCAACTCCAATCTTATTTAGACAAGGCCATAGTCAAAGTGGAATTTCTCTCCTCCCTTCAGAGAAAGGTACCTCCTTCTTTGATGGCCCATTCTTTCCACTGGGATCTCACTTACAGAGATCTTCCATTTTAGGTTCTTTTTTTTTTTTTTTTTTTCCCCTAGAGTGTCTTGGCTTTCCATGCCTAAAATACTCTCATGGGCTCTTCAGCCAGATCCGAATGCCTTAAGGGCTGATTCTGAGGCCAGAGTGCTGTTTAGGACATCTGCCATTCTATGAGTCTGCTGTGTATTCTGCTTCCCATGTTGGATTGTTCTCTCCTTTTTACGATTTCCTAACTTTCATTAGAAAATTGCTAAGCCTTCATTTTGTCCAGAAAATTTCCCCAATTTGATCTGAAAGCTCTTAAGTGTATTTGCCACATAATTTTTGCTATAAATAAAAATGAAGCAAAACTATTTTATTCACACCTTTATTTCTAATTCAAAAGAAGTCTGTTAAATACAGAATATAGAATGTTTTTCTCTTACTAGGTAACTGAATAATTTTTCTTTTAATCACATCTCCAATGCCTCTGTGGTTGGAAATGTTTGCAACTTCAAGTTAAAAAGTGGTTTTCCATGTAAAAAGTAAGCAGAAATCTGGTTCTCCCATTTTCTATTCTTTCTTGGTACAGATCTCTACATTTCAGTTCACAGACAAGAATGAGGATGCATTCATGATTTGGGTACGCAGATATTCGATGATATGTTGAAAGGCTAATGAGAATGGATGGTTACGTATACATTTGCTAAACAGTCTGCATTAATGCGTCTATCCAAAACATTTGATTAATTTAATAGTCTTGGCACTAATTCCAAGAAGCCACACCATGAATTGTGCATGTTTTACAAAGTTGACAGGTGCTATGAAATTATTGGTAATTAGTAGGGGAAGCCCTGCTCACACCATAACCAACCTGATCCTTCCAAACCTCCCCTACAGCCCCAGGTCACTGTTGTGTGGAATATCCTAGACACACTTTCCAGCTTTGGAAACAATGCCATGCTACAGTAAGCCAGTTAACCCTGTGGGGGACAGCAAGGGTATCAGGGACTTCACTTCCTTGAGGAGACAGGCCTAACAGTCTTGCTGCAATCAGATGACAGAGGAAACAGAAGACTCAATAAGTCAAACATGTATTCATTTATTTAAACTGGTCTTCTCATTGGACGTTTGGCAATACTGTTTTGCCTGTTCACAAAGAAATTTTTATTTACATCTCAAACTCACAATGTCTACCTGTTATGACCTGGCCTTCAATTTCTTTTCAGCCTCCGAGCCTCTCTGGAGTGCCTTGCCTGTAGTCATGCACACTCCCACCTCAGGAGCTTGGATACGGCTCCTCTTCCTGGCACACAATTCTTCCACGTACCTGAGTGCCTCAATGCCTTCGTCCCTTCAAGTGTCTCAGCCACAGAAGGCCTTATTAACGGTCTCCCCTTCGTCTGTCTTACTCTATTTCTCTTTCCTTCTTAGCTCCTAGGACTGTGGGGCATATTACACATGTGTTTATCGCTCTTTTCCCTTCCATAAGAACATCAGGTTTTTGAAAGCAGAAACTATGTTTTGTTCACTGTTTTATTCCTGCTATGCCTGCTAAAGAGTAGATGTGCAAAAGGCACTTACTAAGTGAGTGAATGAACTAAATGGACATATATATGAATGAAGAAAATTTGTCATTTACAAAATACGTTGGCATAAATTATATTAAACACTCATGATGAGCTACGAGATTTTACTAAAGCCTCGCTGGGCTTCATTTTCATTACCTGAAAATGCTTGAAGTCTTGAGGCATTCTGAGGAACAGCTTGGAGGCCTGCACTGGGGAAGGGGTGGCAAATGACCGGTCTTTCTATCCTGCACTATAATCTTAGTGCCCACATGAGAGTGTTGCTGTAGAATAGGCTTGTGCTTTTTTTTTTTTTTGACAGTCAGAGAGAGAGAGACAGAGAGAAAGGTCTTCCTTTGCCGTTGGTTCACCCTCCAATGGCCGCCACGGCTGGCGCGCTGCAGCCGGCGCACCGCGCTGATCCGATGGCAGGAGCCAGGAGCCAGGTGCTTTTCCTGGTCTCCCATGGGGTGCAGGGCCCAAGCACCTGGGCTATCCTCCACTGCACTCCCTGGCCACAGCAGAGAGCTGGCCTGGAAGAGGGGCAACCGGGACAGAATCCGGCGCCCCGACCGGGACTAGAACCCGGTGTGCCGGCGCCGCTAGGCGGAGGATTAGCCTAGTGAGCCGCGGCGCCGGCCTAGGCTTGTGCTTTAAAACATATCTCTAATGCTCCCAGCATTAACACTCTAGTCTTTATACCTAAACGCAGTATAATTAATAGCACACATGAAATACAGACACTGTATGGAGTATTTTCTGTACGTGGTACATCTGATGAAGAGGAGATTCTATTAATATTGGATGGCTATTTACAGCCCTTGTCTCTTCTGTTGAGCAACAGTGATTTTTTTTCTTTATACTATTTGTAGAACTTTTTTACTTAGTGTAGGGTTAACCTGATGATCCTTAAGAACCTGAAAGTAGATCTTTGTAAAAATTAAGAGTGGGAACAGGAGAGGGAGGAAGAAGAGGAGTGGAAGAATGGGCGGGAGGGAGGGTACAGTGGGAAGCAACACTATGTTCCTAAATCTATATATATGAAATACATGAAACTCGTTTAACAAATTAAAAAACAGATTACACAACATAGCAAATTCACAAATAAAGGAAAAAAAATAATGTTTTCATTAGCACCTAGATTTAATTCTTTCTTTGCAGAAACTGTAATAGCTTGTAAAGTTTAAGAACAGAACTGTATCATAAGTGAGGCAAAAAGAAAAGAAACTACAAATTAAACCTTCACGTTTGTTTTTATATTTGTGTGCAAATAATAGTTTCCATGTATGAAATATGTCTGATAACAGATTTTTTTCTAACACTTTTCTCACATGTATCCAAACTTTGAGTGTGTGTTTTTGCTAGGAAATATTTTCCTTTGAATGTTCACTAATTACTTCCATTTCTAGTAACTTATTTTCAGAGTATGCTACAAAAGGAGCCAAATGAGTTTATCACATCAGGGAAAGTAACAGAGTGTCTGCTGCCAATGATAAAATTTGA